GTGCATCATCTCTCGCCAGTGCCCTGACTCGTGGCTCTCAGGCTAGAATTTGGCGGGCTCCAGTTCGACCTGTGTGCCCCAGTCCAGGCCCCACTCCAAGCTAGGCTTTGTTTCTCTCGCCTCAGTGCCCCACCCCACCCCATCCCGCCCGCTTTTTCCTTTTGTCCGCCTTGGCTTCTCCCACTCCATCCCTAGGGTCTTTCCCTTTTGTCCTGCATGGGCAGTCAGACTCTGCGGCTCCAGTTGACCAGTAGAGGAGGCATGCTGCTCTCACCGCAGGGCATGGCTAGAATTGGTCCTTGCCACCCCTGCTGCCACTGCTCCTCCAAGTCCTAGAGCAGCTCACCGAGGCCTGTGCTTATAAATGCGTTTTAAAACACACTTGTAAGAAAAAAACTTTAATTGGCCGGTATCTCAGAATAACATGGGACCGTGAACTCGTGAACTCCCGGTGTAGGGCCCCAAGGCAGGAACATACAAAATATTTCTGAAAACTGCAGCTGTGTGTGTGTGTGCCAATAAGAGAGAGCACTCCTGCCTGGAACATCCTGGCTCCTCAGTTTCCCAGCTGTGTGTGTGCCGATAAGAAATACAATCAAGAGCATTCAGGCCTAGAAAGCCCCTATTCCCCAGCCCCCCTCCCAGCCTGTGAATTTGTCTTTATAAACCTGTGTATTTTGATATTCAGGGCTCTCTCTCTTTCTCTGTTGTGGGAAGTGTGAGGCAAGCCCCAGCAAGCTGGTTTCCAAGTAAAAGCCTCTTGCTTTGATTGCATCAAGTGCCGACTTCAGTGGTCATTTGGGTCGAGTGCTGGTTCCTGGGACTTGAGAGGGGATCTGAGCCTCTTCTGGGGCCTTACAACTAATGGTAGATATGGAGAGATGGCTCAACGGTAAAAGGCACTCCTTCATAAAGGGGACCTGTGTTCAGTTCCCAGCATTTCACACCATAGTTCACAAGCATTCATAGCTTCAGTTAAAAAAATCAGATATCCTCTTCTGATTTCCACGGAAAGTAGGTGTTAGGCATCTGTGCGAAGCGTAGAACAGACAACACCAGACTAAACTGTTCGGGGTGGGGGGGTTACTCAGGAGATAGGGCAAAGTTGGGGGGAGAGAAATAGAAGAAGATGGAGGAAGAGAGCAAGGTCAGGGGGCTCTGCCTGTTTTATATGGGCGGTGATGTCACCTCTCTCAGGTAAAGGTGAGATAGCCAGGTGGATTATGGTGGTGGTCTTGGCAACGATGTGGGGGTCACCTAGATGTTATGTCACTGGGTTTGGGGCCTGATACCAACAGTAGGCACATATGCATTGCAATATATATGTTCAAGTAAAACTACTCATACACATAAAATAAAGCTACAAATACTAATAATCAATACATATCTAAAACATATCTAGCATCCATACCATTATATAAATGAAAACGAAGCTACACTGAGATTTTATTTCATTACATCCAGTATGGCTTTCATCAAGAAAATAAAGGTGCTAAATGCTGGTGAATACTTAGGGGGAAAGGAACATTTATATTCAGGTGGTGTGAATATAAACTCGCATTCTAATATAGCTACCAGCATAGATGGTCCTCAAAAATGTAAAAGTTAAACTAGTATATAATCTACCAATATCATCCTTAAATATAAACCTGAAGAAACTCAATTCATCATACCACAGAGATTCTTTCCTAGTTTTGTTTATGACATCACAAATCACAACAGCCATTCCATAGAACCTTCAGAGTGTCTATCAACAAATGTTTGAAAACAGGAAATGTAGTGTATATTTACAGTGAAATAACATCTGGCCATACAGGATAACAAACATGCCATTTTAATAGAAATTGATCACATTAACTGAAATAGGAAAGACTCAGAGACACATGTAATTAGTGTTCTGTTATATGCTCAGTCTTTTTATGTATGTGTGAGAATCTATATGTGTTTGTGAATGTCTGCATGTATGTGTACATTTATGCTCGTAATCATTATTAATAGCGGATATACAGTCAAATGGTCATTAAGATTTTTACTTGATGTTGAGCATCTCTGGGACAAGCAGGAGGCCTGATATGGGGGAGGGTACAAGAGTCTATGGGGGTTAACCTAGGTGAGATTCTTACCAGAGGGAGTTATAGAGACTGAAGTGGACACCTCCTATGGCTAATTTGTTTATAAAGAGGACCTGGGTTCAGTTCCCAACATTTACACCATAGTTCTCAGCCATCCATAGCTTCAGTTAAAAAAATAATCAGATATTTTCTTCCAACTTCCACTGGCAGTAGACACATATGTGATACAATGCATATGTTCCCCCAAAATATTTGTATATATAAAGGACTTTCAGAGGAGGGAGGGAAATATCAGTTCATTAACAAAACCTTCAACCCCAAATTTCTCTTGACTATAAAATATTCAGGGATAAAGATACAGGGACAGGTACAGAGAGATAAGCCAACCAATGACTGCCCCAACTTGAGACCCATCCCATATGAGAGACCCAACACCTGACACTATTAATGATATTCTGCTATGCTTATAGACATCCATCTAGCAAAATTATCTTCTAAGAGGCTTCATCCAGCATCAGATGAAGACAGATGCATTGACCCATAGCCAAACATCAATTGGAACTCAAGGAATCTTTTAGAAGAGTAGGAGATAGAAGTGAGCAAGCCAGAGGGGTCAAGGACACCACAAAACCTGCAGAGACAAATAACCTGGGCCCATGCAGCTTCATAGAGACTGGGCCACCAACAAAGGAGCATGCAGTGGCTGGTCCCATGTAGGGTTGTGGTCCCATGTATATTCTGCCACAGGGCACGGCCACTTGGGGAGTTTAACTGCTCACCCAACACCACCACTGGGTGGGTTCTGGACCATAGGGAAGTGACAAGACGCTGTTCTAGGGGCAGGAAAGTACAGTCTGAGGCACGGAAAAACTGGAGCTTGTTTAAGTGTCCCTGGGGCTGCAATGAGGCCCAGGCTGGGGCCATGGAGTGCTCAGGCTCTTGGGCATTCAGGCAACTCTGGGAGTTGCAGAAGAGCAGAGAATGAAGTTGGGTGCCCATGGGCTGCATCTAGCATGGAGCTGGTGGAAAAAAGGAGTTCCAGCTAGTCTCAGCAGTGAGAGTCCTTGGCTTGACAGTGGCAGGCTTAGTGGCAGTTGTGGCTGGGAGTTGAAGGCTAGAGAGGCCTTCTTTGGGAGACTTGACTGTAGTTCTTCTCTGTAGGCAAAGGCCTTCTCCATGGCTCCCCACGTAGGATCTTGATGAAAAGAATCAATCCATGGCTCTAAACAGTTTATTGTTATGGAGGATAATGGATGTGGAAAACTATACCACACTTCTCAGAGTGGGTCTAAGATTAAATACCTTTTTCAGGGAGGAATGTCTGGGAAGGGAAGCTTATTAGCATGCCCTCTAGACCTCTAAGTATCTCATTAGCATGGAGAACTCTGTTTTGAGCCTACTTGACTGTAGTCATGTCTCTTTTCCTATTGTCTTGGTCTGAGATGTTAGGGATGCCTCATCTACATGCAGAAAGGCTTGGGGCATTGCCCTTGCATGACTGATGGCCACAAATCTATGGGGAGCTGAGGCTATGTGACAGGGGCCTGGTGCTGGGAGCAGGCGAAGCTCCTTCTGTCCCTTCAGGGTCTCTGGGGCATCAAGCTTTTAGCTCAACCTTACTAGACTTCTTCTCATGGTCCACGGACCCAGATATAAAGGCACCCTACATATTCATAGCAACTGGCACCCTACACATTTGTGATAACTATGCATATTGGCCTTCATGTGTGACCCCTAGAAAGTGGAATGGGGGCTGTATCTCTGTTCCTTGTCATTGGATACGCTTCCCTCTACCTGGATTGCTTGGTTGGGCCTCAGTGGGAGAGAATGTGCTTAGTCTTGCTGGGACTAGGTGTCCCAGGGTGGGATGGTACCCAAGGGAGGGCTTCCCCTTCTTTGAGGAGAAGGGGATGGGACAATGAATGGGAGGCAGAATTTCTAAGTATGGGACTGGGAGAAGATGAGGGAGGGTGGCTGTGATCAGGATATAAAGTAAATAAAATAAATTATTGGAAAAATTTTTTTACTTGAAACATATGAAAGGCATTTTATAATCATATTACATCAAGTAAGTTAACAGATTTTTGTCTAAGGTTTATTCTTGTTCAAATGCTGGTTGTTTGTTTGCTAAAGAATTAATTTAATAGCAATCACTTGAATAAATATTAAATGATATTGACAAGGTAATAAGAATGAAATCAACTTAACAAACCTCAAACTTTCAAACAGTACTTTATAAGGATTATTAAATTGGTATGAATCATCATAAAGCAATTATCCATATCTTTAAAAATCTATTAGATACCAAACATTGCCAAATGAAGATATACAACATACATTAACCTTCCATGTTTTGTATGAATTTTCAACAAACACATTGAACTATTATATTGACCACTTCTCTATGTGTCAATCAATCAATCGTTCTAGTGACTGTAGGCTGCATTTTTCATATATATGACAACTTCAAACTGTAACTATGCTATATTTGTTACTCCTCATAAACTACTTTATGTATTTGTGTCTCATTTTTACTTTAATTTAAATTTTAGTTGTTTCTAAATATCAAAGATGTTATTAGCACAAACTAACATATTAAGTAGAAACCTGAGTCAGTAGGTATAATTTTTTAATGCCCAAAAGCATCAACCCAACAATAGAAATACCCAAACTTTATAAAATAGTGCCTTTCATCTATGAACACACTTCAAAATACCAGAGAGATTATAAATGAAAAGTGACTGATGCTTTTATCTTTACTTCACATAAGCTTCTGGAAGAAATAGTTACTCAATCAATTATATCACTGGGGAGAAAGATAGTTAAGTTTGACAATAAGTCCTTTGTACCTGTACCACAGATAGAAAAATTTAGAAATTGAGTGGGATGAAGTGCCATTTGAATTGTACCATCAGTTTCATATATTTGTCACTTTTGTTTGTGTCCAAATCTGCTGATAACTTTTAGCAAAGCAATGCGCACCTCTCGGTTCCTCAGACTGTAGATGAGAGGGTTGAGAGTAGGGGTGACAAGGCTGTAGAAAAGGGAGACTATGTTGTCTTGGTGTGGGCTGTGGTATGAACCAGGTACCATGTACATGAACACTGCTGCACCGTAAAGAGTCCAACTACTGTGATATGTGAAGAGCAGGTAGTGAAGGCCTTATTCCTGGCTTCCTGTGATTGCATATGCAGAACTGCCCTCAAAACATGGCCATATGAGGCAATGACGAGTAAAAGGGGGAACATGAGGACCATCACCCCAGAGATGGACAGTGCCAACTCATATGTGGAGGTGTCTGAACAGGAAAGTTTCAGCAGGGCTGGCACCTCACAGAAAAAGTGGTCTACAATTCGAGAGGCACAGTAGGAAAAGTTCAGAGTTATAGAAGTCTGGATGAAGGCATTGAACACACCTGCTAGCCAGGAAGAGGCCACCATAACCAGGCACACCTGATGTCTCATGAGTACAGGGTACTGTAGGGGGTGGCACACTGCCACATAGCGATCATAAGACATGAGGGCCAGTAGGACTCCCTCAGCTACACCCATCATGGTCAGGAAAAATATTTGTGCTGCACAACCTCCAAAGGAAATAAAACTTTCTTTATTAGGGAAGTCTGATACCATCTTCGGTATGGTGATTAGGGGGAAACAAACATCTAAGAGGGAAAGCTGACTGAGCAGGAAGTACATTGGTGTATGTAGCCTAGAGTCCAACCGGATCAAGAAGAGTAGAATAGCGTTTCCCAAAAGGCCAATGATAAACATGACAGCCACCAGAGAGAAAAGGAATTCGGGTGAACCCAATCTGCTGAAGAGACTCACCAGAATAAAGTTGGAAAACTCTGATTGGTTCACATGCTTCATGTCTAATATACAATGCTTAACTCAAGGGATAACAGACATATCAAGAAACCCAATATGGGAAGTCACTTGCATCTCTCATGAAAATTTCTCTCAAGCTTTAGGGGCTACTTGGGAAGCCATCCTGAGAAAATGTATATAACCACAGGTAGAATGAGTGGGTAAGAGAATGAAGCCTTGTTTGATTAATAATGTTTGCTAGACACAGAGTAGAAAGTAAGCAATTTGAATAACTAAAGGAAACCCTTGCCCACCCTCCATTTAAATGATACCCATTGAATCTAGAGAGATGGATCAATGGGCAAAATGCATGCTGCACAAGCAACAGTGTGATTGGCAAAGTTCAGGTACCCAGAACCCATGTAAATGCCAAGGGGGTATAGCAGCTTGCTTATAATTCCATTGTTTACAAGGTGGAGCCATTGGATCACTGGAATAAGCTGGATATCTAGGCTAGCTATTTTGGCAAATTAGGTTTAATTGAGAGACTAGGCATCAGTATATCACATGAAGACACAGTGAAGATTCCATGTATTAAAATGATGCCTCCGTATGAATGTATGTATGTACGTATATATATATATATATGTATATATGTACGTATTTATATATGTGCATGTGCAATCAGTTAAAAAATGAAGCCTCCTGCTTATGTATGCACATGCACACACAAATGTGCATCACATGAAAGTATAGACATGAAATTAAAAAGAATTATCATTGATTCTTGTGAAAATATTTGAGTGCAAATTAGAAATATTATACTCTTAAACTTTAAAAAGTTATAATTTTCATCCCTGGGATGCTGTGGTGATAACTGGGAAGTCTGGGAACACAAACACTTTTTGCAGTATCTAGGGAATACAGTACAGCAGATTTAAGGGACTATGCACAAATGTTTGGAAATATAAAGAAACAAATAATCAGTTACCACTGGGTAGAATTGATCTTACTAGTCTAAGGAGTACAAAACATGCAGATACAGTGAAAATGGGCTTAATGAAAGGAGGCTTCGGTTTGTGAGATGTGAGTTAGCATGGACAGAGTTATCGTTAGACAAGATGTTACTGACGGCTTAATTTGATTTTGAGTAATGTGCTTTACTTTAGATAGTCTTAAAGAATACCATGAGACAGAAGTGATAGATTTAAAATATCTGCTATAGATGTACAGGAAGACTAAATGATCAAGTATGAAGATCAAGAGCTAGGAGCATTCACACACTTGAGTCAAGAAAATATTTTCTCAGCAAAGTTTACATTGAGCTAGCATACACAACTTCACCAACATAGATGCAGAGAAAGACACTGGAGTAAGTTTGGAAGATGACAAAAATTTCCAGGCAGCTAGAATACGGAATACTGTAGCAGACAAAAGGTAATCATGCATATGGTTTGCATGAGCTTGAGATAAAAGTAGAACTAAGCTGGGCTTAGAGTGATCTTAGAAAATTAGTTGACATAATTTCCTTATTCCACAAATTATTTGGCAAAGACTGAAGTCACTAGCACTGCTGTTAAAATGAAATCAAAGGATGCTGTCATGTGACAAGTGCTCAATAGACTGTAAATACCACCAATTCCTTAGTGAGGAAATATTTTAAAATCACTAGCTGAGCAAGCTGTAGTTGTAGTGTTTGTAGAAATCAATTGAAAGTAATATATTTAAAAAATAGATCTATTTTTGTCTTTATTGTAACCTTATTCAGAATATTTGAAAAATGAATATAACATGCTAACACATCAATAAATGAGTAAAATGTGTGTGTGTGTGTGTGTGTGTGTGTGTGTGTTGATGCGTATGATTCAACTACTTATTAAAGAGAATGAAACTAGGGCTGCACAACTAGCTCATGGGTGAACATAATGACATGAGTTGAACTGCCAGTATCTGCGTGAATGTTGGATGCTTACCACAGGCCTCTGAATTCTCATCCTCCTTTGGGGAGATAGTGATCGGAGATATAAGTATTTCAAGAGTCTCATAGGCTAGGGGAGCCTAGTACACAGAATAAACAACATACCATCTTTCAAGCAATAAGACAGATAATAATAGACAAATATGTACCCAAAGTTGTCCTCCATTACACACACACACACACACACACACACACACACACACACACACAGAGTTATGTATGCACAGTACACATGAATGATATCTCTTCATTTCTAGCCACATATACAGAGATGAGGAATATTATATAGAGGGATATAAATTTGGCAAAGAAAAACACATGTTTAAGTTAAAAGTAGACATAAAATGCATAATATTATTGAGACAAAATAATTAATGAATATAGATGAGTTGTCAGATGGGTGAAAGAATAAACTTTAAAATGTTCTATAGAAGTATTAGAATTGCTGATAATGATTAATTGAATTTTTAAAGTGACTGTGAGAAATGGTTTGACTATGCAACATATGCACTCTGTGTTCTCTTTGGTTGGTAGTTTAGCCCCTGGGAGCTGGGGGGGGAGGTTCTAGTTGCTTGATATTGTTGTTCTTTCTATGGGTTTGTAAATTCCTTCAGCTCCTTCAATTCTTCCTCTAACTCCTTCATTGAGGTCCCCATGCTCAGTCAGATGGTTGGCTGAAAGCATCAGCATCTGTATTGGTAAGGCTGTGGAAGAGCCTCTTGGGAGACAGCTATATCAAGCTCCTGTCAGCAAGCACTTCTTGGCATCAGAAATAGTGTCTGGATTTGGTGTGTGCATATGGGGTAGATCCCCAGGTGGGGCAGTCTCTGGATGGCCTGTCATTCTGTCTCAGATCCATTCTTGGCCCTGTATTTCCTTTAGATAGGAGCAAGTCTGGGTCAAAATTTTGGAGATGAGTTGGTGGCCCTATCCCTCAATTGAGGGGCCATGCCTAACCTCTGGATATATGATCCCTATAGGTTCTCCCTACCCTTTGTTGGGTATTTCAACTAATGTCATACCCTTGGGTCCTGGGAGCCTCTTTCTTTCTTTGTATTTTGGACTTTCTTGTGGCTACTTCCCAGTTCCTCATCCCCTATTGCTATACCCTCTTGTTCAATTTTCTGACCATCTGGATATCTCTCCACTCTCCTCCCATACCTGATCCTGCCCCTCAGCCAAACTCTCAATTACTCTAGATGGAGAAACCAAGATATTCCATGACAAAACCAAATTTAAACAGTATCTTTCCACAAATCCAGTCCTACAAAAGATAATAAATGGAAAATTCCAACACAAGAAGGGAAACTATACCCAAGAAAAAGCAAGAAAGTACTTTTCTTTCAACAAATCCAAATGAAGATAGCTACACATATATAATTCCACCCATAAAAACAAAAATAACAGGAAGCAACAGTCACTAGTACTTAATATCTCTTAACATCAATACACTCAGTTCCCCAATAACAAGACATAGACTAACAGATTGGATATGTAAACAGGCCCAAGCATTTTGTTGCATACAGGAAATGCACCTCAGTGATAAAGACACACATTACTTCAGAATAAAAGTCTGGAAAACAATTTTCCAAGCAATTGGTCCCAAGAAACAATCTGGAGTAGCCATTCTAATATTGAATAAAATTGGCGTTCAACCAAAAGTTATAAGAAAGAGATGAGGAAGGACACTTCATACTCATCAAAGGAAAAACCTACCAAGATAAACTCTCAGTTCTGAACATTTATGCTCCAAGTGAAAGGGCACCCACATTCACAAAAGAAACTTTACTAAAGCTCAAAGCACACAATGCATCTCACATAATAGTAGTGGGAGAATTCAACACCATACTCTCATCAATGGACAGATCATGGAAACAGAAGCTAAAAAGAGACACGGCAAAACTAATAGAACTTATGAACCAAATGGATTTAACAGATATTTATAGAACATTTCATTTGAAAAGAAATGAATATGCCTTCTCAGAGAACTTATGGTACCTTCTCCAAAATTGACCATATAATTGGTCACAAAACAAGCCCCAACAGATAAAAGAAGATTGAAATAATCCCATACATGCTATCAGATCATGAGAGAGTAAGGCTGGTCTTCAATAACAACAAAAACAACAGTCAGTCCACACACACATGGAAGCTGAACAATTATTTACTCAATAATAACTTGGTCAGGAAGAAATAAAGAAACTAAAGACTTTTTGCAATTTTATGAAAATGAAGGCATAACATACCAAGACTTATGAGACACAATGAAAGCAGAGTGAAGAGGAAAACTCACAGCTCTGTGTCCCTCCAAAAAGAAACTTGAGGGCACATCCACTAGCAGCTTAACAGCACATTTGAAAGCTCTAGAACAAAAAGAAGCAAACACACCTAAGAATAGCAGATGGCAGGAAATGATCAAACTCAGGGCTGAAAACATCTAAGTAGAAACAAAGAGAACTATACAAAGAATCAACAAAACCAGGAACTAGTTTTCTAAGAAAATCAACAAGATAGATAAACACTTAGCCCGAGTAGCCAGAGGGCACAGAGACAGTATCCAAATTAACAACATCAGAACTGAAAATGGAGACATAATAATAGAAAGTGAGGAAATTATAAAACTCATCAGGGCCTACCACAAAAGCCAATGCTTAACAAAACTGGAAAATCTGGATGAAATGGATAATTTTCTAGACAGATACCAGATAAGAAAGTTAAATCAGGATCTGATAAACCATCTAAACAGTCCCATAATCCCTAAAGAAATAGCAGCAATCATTAAAAGTCTCCCAACAAAAGTAGAGCCCAGGACCAGATAGAGTTTTAGTGCAAAACTCTATCAGACCATCAAAAAAGACATAATACAAATACTCTTCAAAACTATCCCACAAAAGATAAAGGGAAGGAACAATATATAATTCGTTCTATGAAGCCACAGTTACATTGACACCTAAACCACACAAAGACCCAACAAAGAAAGAAAACTTCAGACCAATTTTCCTTATGAATATTGATGAAAAAAATACTGAATAAAATTATCACAAACCAAATCCAAGAAGACATCAAAATGATCATCCACTACCAT